TTCTGAACTAGATGAATCCTTTTTGGTTTGTTTTACTTTACTTGCTTTAGGTGTTGTTGTTTCTTCCTCTTCTTCAGAACTTTCTTCTTCCTCTGATTCGTCTGAACTTTCATCTTCTAAAGTCAAAAATAAGAAGTCACAAGCAACATGTATCAAAATAGCTGTATATTAATGACACAGATAAGAATTCAAAAGGATTGTTCCAGAGTATACAAACCTGATGAAGATTCATTTGCTTTTCGCTTCTTTTTTGGTGGTTCATTTTTGCTTATTTTTTCTCTTTTTCTTTTGCTTTGCTCAGACCTAAAAACCAGTATTCATATACATTTATAATCTGAATGTGTCTGCATGACATTACTCTACATCCACAATATTAAAAATTCTGCTCTGATACATAATATCTCTTGTTATACTACACCTTAAACGTGCGGCATTCCATGCATCATACCACTCTAGTAAAGTGTTATCAACTTGAGTTCTTGATTTCAGATCCTACAAAGACATCACATCACATTTTTCATTATAGCACCAACAGCAAAAGTAAAAGCAATTAACATCATTATGAGATGAATAATGTTAAGGCCTTATTGACTCATGGTGCTATGAGAAATGTTAATGAGGATGATCACTTTCATAATCATCATCATCATCACCCTCATCATTATTATCAATCATGACCATCATCAACACCATCATCATCATCGCTATCATCATCATCATCACCAGCATCATTATCAATCATCACCACCATCATCATCATCACCATCATCTTCATCATCATCATCATGAACAACATACTAAAATCTTCAGTAGAAATATCATATTATCACCATCATCAGCATGTCATATTCATCATCATCATAAAACCCATATCATTGAGATTAATTTAATCATTAAAAAGAGGAAACGTTAATCAATGTTCCGAATAAGAAGTTAAAGTTTAGTTAAAAATCAAATTTTTAGATCATTAATAACAACACGAATTGCGAGCAATGCATATAAATACTTCTAATAAGTATAGATAACAAGAGTAGACTTAATACTTACTATTCCAGCTTCCTTCACGAAGACTTTAGCAGTTTTATTCAGCTTATTGTCGACTAAAAACGAGTAAATGTATGGATAGACATCACTTGGGACACTCGTGGTCGCCATGTTGTTCCAAATGCACGTGTTTTGCACACAGGCAACCCGACCAATGAGTTTTTAAAAGTTGTGACGTATTTCCGGGCTGAACTAGTCACAAAAACCGTTAATATAAAGCAAAAGAATTCTCAATGAATTTACCTCCACTGAAACAATTAGAACTACGGACAAAGATTCCTTTCATGAAGAAAAATTAAGAAAAATCTTTATAGAACTGCTTTCTTCGTTTTAAAAGTATTTATGCTTCAAAGTTTGGGTTAGCTGTGGAAGTTAACGAGGCACTTCAAGTGGCCTGGTAAAAATTTCTAATGGGATGAAAAATGGGAAGTGGTTTTAAAAAGCAGGAAGAAAAGTCACTAACCGCTTATTTCGTTTAATTTAAAACGGAAAAGTTCAAGACAAGAAAAACGCTAAATTTATACCCAAAGAAGTGAATAATTCAGTCTTCAAACAGCTTGGATAATYAATATTTTATATGATGTACAGAATTTTGATACAATTCTTTATCTATTAACGGAATAATTGGCTAAAAATACCAAAGAATATTATAGATAACCGAAAAATATCATGGAATGGTTTTGACATTGATAATTGAATGCATTTTAATCGGAATTTGATAATGATATAACGAGGAAAGTACATTTGAATTCAAAAATTTCTTGATCAGATCGATCTATTCAGCTGTTTAGTAGATTCTCACCTGGTTGCTATGGAAACATATACCAATAAGAAAAGGCTTCAAAAGCAAGCTTCTTTACATTGGTCAGAACAAGGTGTCTTATCCAAATATTTATCCTGTTCTGACAAATCTGGACGAAATACTTTGACCACAAGAATTTACRATAAAAATTCACCACTTCTCTGTACAATAGTTTCTCTAAAAATCTTGTCACTCATTAAATGTATCGATGATTCGAGGTTTGCGTCTGAAAAATGCTAAAAAAATAGGCAGAATTGTCGAGTTGAAGYTCTTAAAGACGAAAAACTAAGAGTATTAACTGGTTTTAAAGGAATAGATACCAGCCATAGTTTTGGAAACGTTTGAAAGCGAGAAAGAGAATCAAGAGTACTGATGACGATGTACAATATTCTGGGAGCTGTCATGGCTACTACAGCCCTTCTACCGTTTTTACGAGGTAAAAGTTTTAGAAAATGGGGAAAAAATTGATGCCTTCTTGGTGTGTGAATTAAAACTAATGGAATAATTAGTTATATAAAAGATATTTAAGATATTGTTAGGTACCTCACATAGTACTGTTATATGATTCAAATTATATAATTCGCGATACAGCTGCTTACTTTTGACAGTGGAAAATGAGGTACAGTTTTTAAAAATCCCGTTGAACAGGAGTGGCATCCGAAGGAGTTTACCTTCTTTCTTTCTTTTTCTTTTCTTTTTTCATTCTCAATCAGAAGATATAGGAATAGAAAAGAGACAAATTTGTTCTAAATTCTAAATGCTATCCAATCTGATTCAGGTCGATTCGTATTTCTATAATGATGTGTATGCGTGCAATCTTACATTTCTTTAGCCCAGCCTAACACCCCACCAAGATTCATTGATACGCAGTACACCGCGACACTAGATGAGAACAAGCCAGTTGGTAAGTATCCCACAAGCCCTTGCAACTCCTCCTCTAGCTCGTACCAGTCTTCCGCCCCATTACATGACRGTGGCCATGTTGGATGACAGGTAAAATGGAATCAATTAAATTCTTCAGCAACAAGAAATGGCTGCTATTTTCTCTTGATAAGAAAGATTTAAAAAATTACTTTCTCAGGGTTGAAACATTTTTATTATTCTGTCATCCAACAATAGCTTGTTCTTCACTTGCATGTTACGCTATCTCGCGCGACCATGTTAACGGTACTTAACAAGAATTTTTCTCATTAGCTTCCTTTGTTTATTCCACCAACATGGCCGCCATGCCTTTGTGGTTTCGCTCCATTGCTCCTAAATGATTAATTTCATATGTTGCACATACCTCTCTGTTGAATTAGCCAATCATCTTTCCCAGGAACAAATGTGCTACAAGTGTCAGCGGTAGATAACGATAGAGATCAAATCATGTACGAACTTGGTAGCAAGGCTGCGGGTAGATTCAAAATCAACGTTGTTACTGGGCAAATAACGTCACTGGTTGTCATTGACAGAGAGGTAAGAGATGTTAAGTCTTCCCATAATGTCACTAAGACTGGTCTAAGAGAGACAACAACAACACCTTAAAGTAGATTCCGTATGAAGATTGTTTTCATYGTATTGAATTATTATTATTTTGATTGAGTAGTAAACATACGGTACTGATTTATCTACAACACGTACATGGTACAACATGCCGTTACATTGAAATGGCTTCCTAGCCAACCAATGCCTAGCAACCAATATGTTGCCTAGCAGTAATTCATCCAATCACAACGCGTAGTTACGGTATGGCTACAGTACGGCTACGAATTTGCCATATCGTTTCCCACTAATATAAAAACTGGTCTATGAATAAGGATAAAAATTATTGTTTTGGTACACCAATATGGCCGCTGTAACGTCACGTGAAAACGGTCACGTGATAGGGGAAATATAGAAAATAGCAGGGATTTGGAAGTGTTGAACTCTATATTAATTTAGCTTTGTAAACGTCTTTATTGCCAGGCCCTAAGCAACGATCGCTTAGATTTCAACGCGTATGCCTACGACAATGTGACAGGGCGAGGACAACGGGTTAGTACTCAAGTTATGAAGGGAGTATTGGTATACATGTATACGTTGGTTCTGCGCATGTATGTTTTTCTGTTAAAACTACCTTCTCACAAAGTTTTTGAAGTTATGAGAAAATGATACTTTGGTTTGGATTTTTACTGCGTGTTTGTAGTTTTTTCAAATGCATCCCACATGGAAAGGCTTACACATGTGTTTTTTAGACCTTAGAGAAACATACGACATATCGGGCCTGCTGGTTATAGCAAGGGATTAATCATCTACGGTATAGGGGCCGACTAACCTCTCCCTTAGGCTTCGGCCGAGCTTCCTGAYCAGTCTGTAAGTCCTCGGATAGCGGTGTCGGGGCCGAAATCTCCGGCGTAGCCGTAAATGCTTCGCGCTGCCATACGACGGTTCAGCACTCGATGTCTGGAAGTATGGTCCTAAGTTAATAAAAGCAACAAAAAGACCAAGCAGATGAATATTTTTTAAATATTCAACAGAAATGAAGTGCGCATGCGCGTATAAGGTGAATCACGTGACCTCTCTTTCATTTAAAGGTGAATGTACCCGTGTCAGTGGTGATAACAGACGTCAATGATAATAAACCTGTCTTTACTGAAACGCCCTACAAAATGTCCATCCAAGAGGTAAGACTATAACTCGATTTAACTCTGATTCTTCTGCCTCGTATCATAACGCTAGGATTTAGCTGCTGAAAACAATGCCTCGTCTGAAGTATTTTGCCACTTACAATTTATATAGATCTTTGCTTTTGTGGCAACGTTTTCATAGTAATCTCGAAGAGAAGGGCCACGAACTGAACTGGAATTCTATAAATGTTTATTTGACAAGAAAGAAGTTTTAGATAAAATTCTATTGCTTAATATCTGCTATCGGATTGGTTATCCAGCTTCAAAGAGTATGGTTACGTTGGAGTAAAGGTTTTTAAGTCCACTGCAAAATATGAACAATGGCAGCGCGCGCGAAAGATTATTGCTTACCAAATTTTACATGATATTTCATTATGCTGCTAATAATTTACAAGTTTATATTGGTTAACGTTGATGTAGAATGTGCTTGGAAGTACTGGATTTGCAACGTCAGCTACTGATGCGGATAATGGACGATTTGCTCTTATTACGTATTCCATTACTGGAGGAAATGCGGTGAGAAACTATACTAATGGCGTTCATGTTCATAATATCATCATTATTATTAGCCACCTACCGCCCTTATCCTTATCATCATTATCATCATCACCATC